GACACCATCCAGTCGGAGATCACGCTGGAACCCTCCAGAACACAGTGCAGGCCCACAGGAGCAGGACGCACAGTCCGTCAGAACACGGTGATCCAGCCGGTCCATCTCGCTGCTCCAGCAACTTCACCAGCACAAGAGAACAGCCCAAAAGAAGGACTGCTGATTTGGCGTTTTTTGAACGCGATCGGCCAGTCCTCACCACCACACCCACACTGTACCATTGTATTCTGGCTTCTCAGTAGGACCCAGCCCACACATAGCGCCAGCTTCTTGCTCTTTTGGATGTTGCTTTCAAAAATAACCTTAGTGCCTTGCTGCAACAATATCTCTTCTCGAACTGCATTATTTGAATGTATACATCTTTGAAATCGTGAACGCTATCATCCACGTAACGTGCCCACCATTGCTAGCTTCTTTCAATACTGCAGCTAAAAGAAACGTCAGTGTCCCATCAGAATCCAAAACTCAGCCCGAAGGTTTGATTTGTGGAACAGCATGCGTAAGCATCGTACAGATCCTACGCATACCTCAGATCGAAGGTGATGTTCCAGATCACGATAAAGAGCCATTGTGAAGTAACCGTACTCATCACTCTATCAATCACTACTACTGTGTCAACAAGTAAAAATTTCTGTACATGTAGACCAACATAGCCTCCCTTAGACACTAATATCGAGCTAGCGAACTAGGATTTCTCTTACAATTATGATCGCTAACTAATATACGGATCTAGTTATTATAAAAGGCGAATAATCGGCAGCTGCCCGTCAGGTTCTAACAACCGCCCACTGACATAGCATGCAACAAGGAGCGGCATTAATCACAGCCACTGAAGACCATAAGATCCATCAATGATCGTTAATTCGAACTGGACTGACTCCATCCAACTGTGCTCCAATGCAGCCTGGTATCCTATTACATAATACGAACACTGGTCACGTGATGAACCCAAATCCACATTGCCTCCATACCTAGTACTGGAGTATATTGACTAATCAAGAATATCAAGGATCTTTGGTTAGTGCGCACTTAATGCGGGCTTTACCTCCCCAACCAGCAGTTCCTTTAGTTTTTTTCCCTCATTGTGCTCCTTATTTGCTGTTATATGATTAACAAGCACGTGCCATGTGACCATCTCTTGCATATTGAAGAAAATTAACAACTCAAATTACTTTCACCATTAACTGTTATAATGCCGATTCTTGCGCTGGACTTCAATCACTGTTGCTCTCCATGTGTGAACCAGACGCAACCAGTGTCACAATGCCAACATCTACCTGCAACAGCAATTTTTACCTGTAAGACTCCTTACAGCTCCACTAACCACATACCCACCACTTACTATGGCTTCCTGTTCCCTGGAACAGTACTTTCCAAATCTGAACAGAAGTGAATTGAAATAAAAAAGCTACTACCTCTCAATTTAAATGCACTCCTATGTGTCTGCACCGTTCCCTGTGAAACCCATCTTACACACCCTACTCATAATACAAAAAAAAAAAAGCTAGCAAAGAGCCAGAATCGTGTATCCTAGCCATCCTTTTGTCTTGTTATTCTCTCGCGCTACATACTAACTGAGCACACCAGCGGAGATTGCCTGTCCACAATTTCGTCGCCCTTCATTCATCTCAATGGGAGCGTCATCCCTCCATGTTGGACCTGGCGGAAGCGTCTGTAGGCGCCATGTCAATTCCACTCGACAATCACTCATGTTACAAGGCACCTCTCAATCCCAGTCATTGATCCTAAACACACCACTCCTCACCACTCTGATCGGATGCTGACTATAAGGCATCTGGCATGAAAACGCATCATTTTGAATCCTTATTAATATTCTACCGCTCTATTTCAAACATATGCATATCAAAATCACCAGAAGTTAATCATGACAGCTGTGAACCGCCCATATGCTTACTGAACAGAACAAAAAAAAAAAAAACCAAATGCATGTAAAAGTAAAAGCCGCTAGTCCAGTGTACAACATAATTCAGCTGGCAGCTCGCATAATTGGCCGACAATAGCAGCCAGCCGGCTTAAAGCTATACCTTCCCGCTTGGTACTTGATCCAGCAGCGCCCTGTTAAAGTCACGAATCACTGCGACCAGATCCCTGGGCTCAATCACTCTGGCATCTATTCTAATTCAACAAAGACTCCTACAGAAACACCATTCATGTTGCTGGAAACACTATACTCAATTTCTTTTGGCCTTAAGCGGATCCAGCCATAAACTGTCTACAATATGCCTCGCAAATTGACTATCCCATCCAATCCCAAATCCTTGATTCCCACATAACAGCAGCTCCCATGTCTCTGTGCCAGCTACTGTCACCCTAGACAGTCCCGTGAGGGATGCTGCTGATCAAAGACTGTGTACCGACCCTCCACGACATGGGTAAACAATACCAACTGGCAGATACGACAAGACTGTGTACCTTTTCCTACCATCTACCTTTGCTTAAAATAAGACAGCGAGGAACTAGATATATCACGTCGCATGAGCATATGATGGATGCTGCACCAGCAAGGAGTGCCAAGGGATGCAAAGAAGCAGAAAAGAACAAGAAATTTGGAAATAGGCAGAGCACGCACAGGGTAACCGACAGAGAAGCCCGAGCAACTTCTATCCTGAATTCCATACACATCACACCACGGGCCTGGGACCCAGACATTTTTTAAATCAGAACTGCACAGTTCACTTGTAACTCGAGCAAAGCTTCACTTGACGAATGCAGTCTTTTGCCACTGTATGTAACAGTGCTTGAAGAACTCCAGCGGTCCAAAACGACAGTCCCTGCTAAAGCACCGAAACAGGTCACATTCTTGGATTTGGCAGACCGAAAACTCAAACTACCGGGGTCAACCGCCCAGTTTACCATCCGCTGAGACTAATTGACCCTCACTGCCAGCCATATCCATCCATGTCAATCAGCAACATCAAGCCAAAGCAGCTCCACTACCTATTGCATTTTCATCACAATCGTACAGTCTCAACCATCAAAAATAAAACATGAAGACAACGAGAAAATGAAGAGAAAGCTCTGACGACGCCAAAAGCAATTTGCACTGAGGTTTATTATTATAACGCTAAATAAAAGCATGCTTTATGGCGACATACAATACATTTTTGGCAGTAAATTCCCCAGTTTACCCTGCCATCTGGAGAACTGGCCAACAAAGAATTGGACGTAGCTGCCAGAAAGCTCCTCGAGCAATATCCCTCGCATCAAAAGATCCTCTGTATGTGGTCTAGTCCGCATCCGCAGAGGAAGGGGCGTACAGCGCTATCTCGTTATCGGTGTCCGTCCCGCTGAAATCAAACGGATTGCAAAAATGTCAGTGTTACCATAAACCAACAAGCAAATTTAAGCATGCACTGAAGCCAGAGCCATGATTTTCAAAAAACCCAACTATTACTAGGATTTTGAGATAACCTTAAACATGTGTTTATTTCAGCTCATAACCCATCCGAGCCAATCAAGCACTATTTTCGGCTTTCTTCCACTATCTTGATTTTTTTCTCTTATGTTTGTCCTTTTACTATATATATTTCACTCATTGTTGTGTTTTTTCATATTTTTTTCCTTTTTAAAACCTAATGACTGCGTGCGTTTTCCTTAAATACACGGTACTAAGTTCTACTTGACATTTTTCACTTCAAGAGGACGTCCCTCCTATCCAAGAAGACTCTCCCCCCAACGCCTGACGCATTTCACATCATTGTTTGTTTTGACTCTGGTAGCGTCGCGCCGCCTGTCAGCCAAACATACTAGCAAAGACTAGGATGCTGTCCCCTCTGCAACCCCCCTCGTTTTGTTCTGCTTAGGCCGGGCTACTCTACATGTATCGTGTTCTTTGCGATCTCGGCGCGACTGTCATGCTTAGGGTTTACAGTAGTACTTCTCTTTTTGTCGGACACAGTTGCCGAAACGCACCTCTTCTCTGGATCTTCTAATGAGTGTCCTTAACCTGAAAACGGTGCCTGTTTGTGCTTCTCTTTTTCCATTGTATGTGGGCGACACCTGTCACGTCATATTCGGCGAGTCTCCCAATTGTATTGGAGCTTGGGCGAGCAACCTTGTGAAGGCGACGATGACATCGCCACTCGATCTGCGACACACTAACACAGGCGTGTCGCT